CCCTAGAGAATAATGCTAGCCCAACAGGCAGTACCATTTCATCTGATGGCAAAACAACTGGGAAGGGATTCAAGGCCTCCAAAGCCTTTTCACAAGTGCCTGTTCTCCAGAATCAGCAAAGGGAGCATCATGCTCTCAGCTCGGAGCAGGGCAACCAAATCAACAGGGTGGTTGCCCTGTGTGCTGAGCCACTAGCCAGACCAAGGACACTCCAGTTGGCAATGGGAACCTTGGGAGGCAGGCATTACTGCGGAGATAGAGATCTGCTTTTCAAACATATCACTAGAAAAAGAATTTCTCAATCTGGGCACTCTGGATATTTTGGACCACATAATTCTTTTGTGTAGGACAGTTCTGTCCATTATGGGATGTTTAGTAGCATCATTGTTCTCTGCTCATGCACCAAAATTATCTCTAAACAATATCAAATGTCAGGGATGGCCAGGGGCAAAAGTAACACCGGATTGAGAACAACTGTCCTTGAGGTACAGTTATCTGTTTTCCTCTTCAAGTAAATACCTTGGCAGAGTGAAAGGACAGAGGGGGGCTAGAATTCAAAAGAATTCATAATAATTCTGCTGAAGCATTTTTGGAATTTTCCTCTTACTCTTGGAATGTCCATTTCCAAACATTATGCTCTAGGACTCAGAGCCCTGAATCTCATGCTTACAGTCTGTGGCTGTAACTTGGATTCATGGAATTTTAGAATTAGAAAAGATTTTAGAGATTAGTTCATTTTATTTATTTATTTTTTCAAGTCTACCATTTTATTTTTTTTTAAATTCCTTAATGGGGTATCTTTTTTTATTATTAGTTGTTCAAAACATTACAAAGCTCTTGACATATCATATTTCATACATTTGATTCAAGCAGATTATGAACTCCCATTTTTACCCCGTATACACATTGCAGATTCACATCGGTTACACATCCACTTTTTTACATACTGCCATACTAGTGTATGTTGTATTTAATTTAATTAATTACCCTATTCTTTTGGTACCTGGATTGAACCCAGGGGCGCTTAAACCACTAAGTCACATCCCCAGTCCCTTTTTGTATTTTACTTGGAGAGAGGGTCTCTCTGTACTCTTCCAAACTCTGAGTATTACATATTTATAGATGTTTATCACTAAAGGATATTAGAGCTGTACTAGAGAGATATGACCAGGTTATCCCATTGTGAAGTGTCCCAAGCAGTGTTACAGGCAAAAAAGTTAAAAAAAAAAAAAAGAAAAAAAGAAAATGGAGATCACTGCCTGTGGGTGTGGGTGCAGTTTGGGTGAGAACACTACTTGAAAGGATTACATTCCTAATGATTTAAACAAGCACACCCGGAGGAGTTATGATCCTGTTCATAGCAGGAGACCAGGTCTGGGGTAGTTGGGTAGGTATAGTTAAAATGGCTCACTGATATTAGTGCTGGCTGCCATTACTATATTTTTATGAAAAAATAATCCCAGTTCTATTGCTTGGCAAGGAAAACTTGTTTCATTTACACAGCATTTCTTCCTCCTAGGAACACATCCTCTATCCATTTGCCTGAGATGGTCCACTTAAGTAAACGGAAACTGAAGGGAAGCATCTAGAAGACAATCAGCCAGCTGATGCTTATCCATTTTTCATAAACACTCAAGACTATCTCTTCCTAAACAAAAGAAGGACCGTCACTATGGCATGGAACATGGAGGTAGCTCACTTGCTCCTTTGTCCTGGAATAAAGGACATTAACCAGGCAGGGGCTTCCGGGAGCTTCTTTACTGGGGTGAGACTCACTGGAAAAAGCCCTCCCACCTCCACCCCCTTCCCACCCTCCTTCCCCATCACAACTCCTGGCAGGGGGTTGGGTTGGAGATGACATTAATCAGAGAATTTGGGAGCCTGCAGCCAGTCAGCTGAGAAAGGATAAGTGTCACTAAAACTAGCCATTCTGGCCACAGATACAAAGCCCACATCTCTCAGCAGCCCAGCAACAAAGCTGACAGACTCTAATTTCCTTTGTTTTCAGTGCCCATTGGTTTTCGAACTCAGTAAGGTGCTATTAGCCTTGGGTTTGAACTCAGGAAAAGGGTGCTTAGGCCAACAGTAAGACTTGGATTAGCATGGTTTCCATACCCACGTGAGAACACAGGACCATTCATACCTCCTCCTGCCATTAAATGTTCAAAGCCCTGTTAAACCTCAATCTCCACATGCAAATACTCATATGATTTGCTCTTACAAATGGGGAGAATGCAGCACTGACAATATTGACGCTACTAATTACCTCATAAGTTTAAGGGAAACAGTTTTTACATTCAAGAAGAGGTTCTCCTAGGTGTCTAGTACCAGCTCTGATGTTGGCTTAGATGAGTTGCTTCACCTACATGGAGTGGTCCTTCCCTCAACCATTGAAGTCTCCATGATAGTGAGCAGAGATGGGGAATTCTAGGAGGGAGGTTCTGTGTGTTTGGTTCTAGTTTATAACATGTTATTGACAAGAGAAAAACCCTGTGACGACAGCTAAATGGAGAACCACTAAATCTGTGACCTCCAGGTGCTAAATGCAAACATTTATTAATTCTAAGCATTCCTCATAGAGTGAGACATCATGGTCTGTAGAGTTTCTTAAGGAATTTAATTTAATGGAATGATAGGAACAACTGCAATTAAAATATAATTGTGTGTATGTAAATATGCTTAGGGGAGCTTTGATAGAGATTATGGTTGCTACATTCACCCAGAATTTTGGCCTACATTATTAATTTGCACTAGTAAGAAGAAAGGGTTTGTTAATCAAAGATAAAGTATCCCAATGATTTTGAATTAGTGAACTCCAAATTATGGTAAGATAATGAGGCAGTACTGTGCATATATATATAATTCTCTGCTAAGTGAAAAGCTTTCCGGCTGGCCACATAGGAGGTCTCCTTATTGAAAGATTTATTTTTAATTTTGAACAGCTTCCCAGCATTACCCCTTCAGGAAAATTAAAATAAGGAGATGGAATTTGGTCCTATTCAGCAAACCTCCCAGCAGGATTGCTCACCATGGCTGAGAAAAAAAGTTACAAAGTGTCAGGGGAATTACCTGACCACTTTTCTGCTAGATCTATAAGTATTACACCTATATTATTTTTTAAAAAAATCCTTATTCCCCTACCCTCTGTAGAGATATTATCATACATATTCCTTTTTTGCAGGATTTTTAGGCTGTCTTTATGTTCTTTGGACCTTGTAGCATGGTGGGAGTTGACACCCATCATCTCTTGGCTTGAATCCTTACTTACACTAAGAATCATGGAATTCTCCCCTAAAATCAGTGGGAGTCAATCCTGTCCTGAGAACATTTCACAGGGCTTTTCTCTGCCAAAGGGAATGATTTCAGGCTTCAGCTGACATAGCAGAGGCTTCAAATTTCCACTCCTAGTTTTAATTCAGTTAAGAATACAACATTGTCATGTGTTTGGAGATACCCCAAAAGTTATCATAAGGGACCTGAACATAAGAATATTGACTGGCTCATAAATCCAACTCTACATAACCTGCAAAAATTGTTCTGCACTGTACGGGTCCTCCTGACTCAGAGACACCAAGGGCACCAATGCATAGCCCCAGGTTCTGTGTGTGATATTCCCATTGCATCCTCCACAAGAGAATGAAGGGTTGGCAATCACAAATTGCTTGTGATGCCATCAAATCCTTCTAAATTATCCCAGTCTTTGTAAGAAAAGTGAAACCAGTGACCAGTAACAGTGTGCACAGTCTCAAAGTTCAAGACAAAAGCTTAGCCAGATGACTTGTCCATATCACGTATTAATAAGGGCCATTTCCATTTGAACAGATGAAGAAGCATTCCAGTAAGATTAGCCTTTCTAACTCCCATTCAGAATTTCTCCCAAGTCTCTACATTTTATGTATGCTAGAAAATTCGAAGCAAAATGGAAAAATAATGGCTTTGAATTGGGACTCTAGAGTACTTTTCAGTATAGGATCAATTAATACAGATATTTTACTGAACTGTGAAGTGCACTTACTGACACATTCATTTAAGAGAAGAGTGCAGTACAATAGGATTGCTGGCAATTTGTAATTCTTCTCTGGCTGTTTGTTGCTCATGATAGCCTTACAAAAGGATAAGCCACAGTAGTGGTTTGGGGGGGGGTTGTTTTGGGGTTTTTTTGCTGTGGTTCCTCCTCTTAAACTCTTCAGGAATAACACGAGAAACAGATAGTAGTGTAGAAACTTTTTCATGGGAGGAATATAGATGAGTGGGCAGGAGCCAGAAGCTAGAAAGCTAGATTTTGAAAAATGCATGACATTCAGATTTCTATGAGAGTTCTGCAATCAACTCAGCAGAGACACTTCAAGAACAGAAGTGCTTCCTAGTCATCTGCATTGATGCAGGGAATGGGGTGGACTAGCAGCCCTCTTGCCCCATGTTGAACACAGATTCAGATATAAAAATGGTTGTAAAACTCCTCTGTGTCTTAAGGCAAATTTTGTTGAGTACACCAAGATCTACATGGAGATTCAAATATTGGTCCATGTAGATTATTCCTTACATTTTACATTAAAGAATAAGATCAAAGCTCTATCAGCTAGTGCTTTTGTTGGAAAATGCAGCAAATACCAATACAGCATTGGTATTGGTAAAATCAACGTTATTATCATACATAATCTGTACTTGCTCCAACATCCAGCCACATTGAACTTTCTGAAATTCACTGTGGAGGGCCTTGGCCCCCTACTGTAGCCATTATCATTTAATCAGACACTATCTTATCCTTCATTTTATCTCCACCACCTGGGACAGAAACATGCTATACAGTTATTTCCCCAAAACCATGTTTGCTGAATGATTCAATGTCCTTCTACATATCTTTTGTATTGAAACATAGCTTCCAGGTTTTTAATGGGTTCCGCTTCGATTGCAGAACTTTAACATAATTTATGGTCACCACCAAAATCCTTTTCACAATGTACATTCAGATTAGGAAAAAACAAGGATCTTATTCCTACCTGCTTGGTTGGTTGTCACGGTGACGGAAACTGATTGGTCGGGGCTGGGGTTATACTTGGACACACCATTCACCGCCCAGATTTCAAACGTGTAATTGGTATGTGCCAGGAGGTCGGTGATTGAGACTTTGGTGGTCTTCAGGCCATTCTGCTGTGGGGTGTAGTGGACCCCACTCCCGCAGGGTCGACACTTGCTGGGGTCACCGGCTCCACACTTCTTACAGACGACATTGTAAGAAATGTCCTGACGACCACCTGTGTTCTGAGGACTGCTCCACTCCAAGTTCACGGATGTCTCGTTGACATTGGAAATCAAGTTGAGTGGAGCAGACGGTGGGCCTGGAGAAAGAAAAACATATCACTGCACCAAGAACTGAAATACCATTTTGGAATCTCTCTGAGTTTGTATTATTCTCCACAGTTCTAAGAAGTATGATGGGCCCATTTGGCAAAGAAAGTGAAAGGCAAATAAAACCCGCAAAAAGATCTTTTAAAAGAACAATATAATAGAAGGCTGTATGTGCCGTTCTCATTCCTATGCAAACAAACAGAGCACCAACTGCCACTTAGAGACATGAAGACATTCTACCATAAATGGGGTCCACACCCAGGGGTTCTCTATCAATTGGCAGGAAAATAGCATCATCTATCTAGATTCCATGTTATTTTCTGAAAAACAGGTATACCACTGTGATTCTAGCTTCCAGGACTGCTATGAGGCTTGGTAAATTAATTAATAGTTATAAACCTTTTTTGAAGACAAATTATGATTCCTAAGAACAGTATATCATCAATAGCAAATTAAACTAATAGATTTGTGTAGATACGCCTCTGCAGTTCATCATGGCAGTTGAGGTTGAAGCTGTTTGTGGGTAATTAGTAGAAACTGGTTTAACACAGTTACAGAGATTTTGAAGATACAGCTGTTGAGAGCTCTCAGAGGTAGGCAGAGACTGTCCAAGGCTTCCAGACACCTCCTTCTGCTCTTCAACTGATCAGGACTGCACCCTGCACCAGATTATTTTTTCAGCTTGCTTATTTCCAGTGCACAAGATGGTGATGGTCATTATGAAACAGAACAACTAACGGCTGACCACTTCACGGTTGACTTAAAAATAATAATAAAAGACTATAGACTTTATATGCCAACAAACTGTGTTATAAATTGCTGTCAAAAAGAAGCAGACTGGGAGAAGAAAGAAAGAATTTTCTTGGTCTAACCTAGTTTCAAAAGTATTAAAAAAAAAAAAAACCTGTTGCATTCTATTGAAAAATATATACTCCTTGTGACAGTTGGGAAGTTCTTTCTCATTTTGATCTTCCAAGGGAAGAGCCAAAAGAGTTTCAATGAAAATTTGAGGTTTCTTTTACGGGGATGACTAATATCTTTGGAACAATGGCTACCAGGGAAATTTCACATGTTCCTCAGGAGAAACAAGTTGACTGGAGAGGCCTGTATGCTAGGGTTTACCTAGCAAACCACAGTGAAACAGATGGTTCCAAAGTAGCCTTGGAGAGAGAACTGGAGAGGCAACCTGTGAGCAGGAGTCATGGTTATTAGCCTGCAGTGATCAACAGGGATAATGGATTTCGCTGATAACATTCATACAGGAAACTCACTCTTCTCTCTTCACACAGCTTAATTGAAGACTCTATTTTAATAAAATAAAAAAGCTCTCCCAACTCCCATTGGGCTAATTACTAACAACCTCCTTTAGCATTAAGACTGGCGCTTCATCCTTCAAAAAAAACCTGAAAACTTTTTAATGAACTTTGCAAAATGTATGCTAAATGTAAGCCTACCTCACAGAAGTCCTCAGAAAGGAAATACGACATTTATTTCTTGTTGAGCTTTCAAAACTGTATTTATGGTCTTTAGCATGGTGGTGAGAGTACAATGAGGGTAAATAAATGGTTCCTGAATGAATGAATGAATGAATGAATGAATGAATGAACAAAGTTATTTAACATCACAGTCTCTATATGCCAGATAGAATGCTAAAGATCTTTTTGTCAAATACCCTCATTGTAAAAATGAGGGACCTAAAATCAGAATGGATCTGATAACAGCAAAAGTTCATGCAGGCTGATTTGTAACAGAATTTGATGAAAATCTAAGGGAACTGTCTCCTCCTCTGGGGTTATTCCTGCTCTACCATGTATCGTCCACTAAAGGTATAATGATAATATAATCAGAAGATTTGCCTGAAGTTTGAAGAGTCAAGGCAGGAATCAGAGCACACACATCTTCAACCCTTCTCAAATTCTGTCTCACTTGCCGCCGTGGTGGAAGCCACGCTGAGACTGCAGCTGAAGCTGGCTATGGCTTGGTTTATAAAATGGGTCAGCCCCTGGTTCTTATTTTGCTGTGACTTTGAGGGTTAAATAAGAGTGACTCTGAAATCCATTAACCTCCTTGCCAAGGTTCCTGGTCCACTTTCACATGGGAAAATGTGACACAATGAATCAAGAGCTGCAGAAGCAAAAAGTCAGTAATTAGTATGTAGGACGGGGCACGGCAGTGTCTAAACAGAGAAGAAATGGAGCAGAAAACTAAATGGTCACAGGACTCGGAGATATAACACTGCCACGTGGAAAACAAAACACAAAGATGCTGCAGGATTTCAAAATCGGGGGTTGACTGGAAAACAAGAGCTGGCCTGGAGCTGCCTTCTTTCAGCAGTGACTCTTGAAGACGAGCTTGGGGCAAACGTTCCAGGAAAGATTTGAGAGAACTGGGGAAGTTCAAGATCAAGGTTGCCACCATGAATGGTCCAGAAATTGGACTGCATATGTTTTATGTTTTGCTCTTACAGAAAGTGATACTTATATGGGAACATAGTAGCAGCCTAATAACTGGAGTATGACAAAGTCATATAATAGAGGAGAAAATGAAATATAGAAATGTCCACCCTCTATGATGATAATGTTGCCCTGAAAAGACCTGAAAAGACCATGTTTTACAAATTAAAATCATAACAATGGTGTTTTGTGTTTGTGGAATTATGAGTTTTTTTTGTTATTGTTGTTTGTTTTGTTTTGTTTTTAAACTCTTCTTCATTAAAAGATAATAAATAAGTAAGAAATGGGCTTCTTGCACCCAGTGCAGTGTCACATGCCTGTAATCCCAGCGGCTTGGGAAGCTGAAGCAGGAGAATCCAGAGTTCAAAGCCAGCCTCAGCAATGGCGAGGCACTAAGCAACTCAGTGAGACCCTGTCTATAAATAAAATACAAAAAAAAGGGGGGGGGGTGGGGATGTGACTCAGTGGTGGGGTGGGGATGTGACTCAGAGGTCAAGTGCCCATGAGTTCAATCTCCAGTACCACAAAAAGGAAAAAAAAAGAAATGGGCTACTTATTTCTAGTGAGGGGCTACCTCTTCCCCAGAAAAGAAAATATTATCTTCCCAAGATGAACAGGAAAAAGGCATAGACTCAAAAACAGACAAAAGTCAATCCAGGTCCACAGTTACCCTTAATAGTAGCACAATTACCTGCAACAATGGGTAACAACAAGAGAAAACAGACATTCTGAGAAACCTCTCTTTCAATCAATATAAGGCATCTAGAAGAAAAAACTTTCCCTCAAATTATTTTCTTTCACTCATGTTAATATTGTATCTGGATATTTAAGAGGAATCAAATTTCTAACACGGATGACTGCCTTTCTCATCAGCAAGATGCTCACCTGCAAGAAAGTCTCCAGTTACAACCACAGAGGGGCCCTCCATAGCCACACGTTCCACCTCCACGGATTCAACCAGCTCATCAAAAATACTTTTTTAAATACACTTCTGTACTGACTGAGATGTACAGACATTTTTTTTCTTATTATTTTCTAAGTAATATGGTCTATTTACATAGCACTTACATTGTACTAAGTAGTACAGGTAACCTAAATATGATTTAAAGTACATGGGAGGAAGAGGAAAAGGGAAGGGAGTGGAAATGAGATTGATTGCATTGTCATATACATGTCCTAATATGGCATAATTAATCCCACTGCTATGTACAATTATAATGCACAATAAAAATATCTTCAAAAAAATAAAGTGCATGAGACAATGGCCATGGGTTATATGCAAATGCTACATCATTTTATATAAGGGTCTTGAGCATCCTTGGATTTGATACCTGCTAGGGTCCTGGACCCAATCCTGCAACAGCACAGCGGGAAGAGTGTATGAGGTTTACAGCAAAGAGAAATAACTGAGTTATTTCTGGGTTTCTAGTCTCTATATCTTCCTCTTACTTCCTGAGCACACATTGACAGTAGGTAGCTCAAGGCTCCTTACGAGGAGCAAGGTTTTACGCTTTTCAAAACTATCCACCACCAGCCTGAATCTAAGTCTGGCAGTAAATCCTGTTTAGGGTTTTGCTCTTCATTCGGTTCCTTAACTTCTATGTCCTTCTTAGGTTGTGACATCTAATGGTTTCTTGCCAACCCTTTCCACACCCGGCTCCACACCAGTCTATGTGCTCCTTGAGAAAAGTGAGGCTTTTATCATTCCCAGTGTCTAGTTCATAGAAAACTCAATGAGTGTTTGATGAGCCCATGAAGTAGTAAATGAATGGATGGAAAACGAAAAAACGTCCTTTAATGCATCATACAGCCACAAACCTACAGCATTGGGAAGTACGTAAATTAATGCAGGTTTCAGCTTTTCACATAGGGTTTATTAGCATTAAGCCTGTGCAGGTCCATCCCAACATAACTAGTTTAATCAAGTCCCTCTTTTTCTGTAGTTTAAAATTACTTTGAAAAATAAGTTGGGAAGGCTGCATAATAAGTATTAGTGGTTATTTTGCTAATAAGGAGTCTTTCATCTTTCAAAAAATATTTATTGAGTGTCTAATGTATATCATCAGCTCAAAAGGAGAGAGGGGAAAACATCTGGATCACTTTGATACTTTCCATATAGTTTCCTGGAGAGTTGAAAGAAGGAAGTGGTCTCTCAAGAAAGGGAAGAGACTGAAGGAAACTAAACACAAATTATGTGTGTACTGGGTATCAGGGAATCACCCTACTCAGTCCTGTTTTTATTGATAGTGCAACCATCCACCACAACTGGGAATTTAGAATGTGGGTCCTACTAATTATAGTTCCCTCTAGTTGGGATTGGCTATTATGATTTTTTGTACTCCACTTAGGTTTCAGGTGATGATTTATTTAGGCATGAAGTTAGGGACAATGTTCTCTCCGCAGAAAATTAATTCTAACATTTCCAAAGGAAGGCCGACACTATTAGTCTTTATATAACTTTAGTGGTTTTTCTCTTGAATTTTATTTTATCACCAAAATTAAGACATTCTAATTATAAATTAATCAGATGCTAAAGT